CAGGTGGTCTTGTCCATACAGCACTCCCCTCTAGAGTCTACCAACCTCCCTTCAACCTTAGGGTGGACAATGGTGCTCACTGTTACCAGCCTAGGGGGCTGCGCTATCCCCAGAGTTTCCCCACACCCTCCCCATACCCTTCTAAACAGTCCCTCTATTAAACTTTGCCCAATTTCCTTAATTTGAATTTGTCATCTTTTTCTGGCCAGTGGTGTATCTACACCACTGACTATCTGTGTAACATTGGGCAATTCCTTAACCTCTCTTGGCCTCCGTTTTCTCCTCTGTAAAATGGAGGTAATAAGAATAATGTTTCCTGTAGAAGATCATCTTAAGATTCAAACAAGGTTATGCATATTAAGGTACTTTGATCACAAAGTAAGGGCTCAGTAAATGTTAGAGTAATATTATAACTACCACGAAATCCCAGCTTAAACACTACTTTAATTCAACTGTGGTAAGTCAGCTCTCATAGATTTTATTAGGCTTTAATTCAACAATAAAAAAGACCAAAAAAACCCCTTATGGTAAAAATTCACTTTGAATTTTTGCAGAGTAGTTCTTTTTCACACCAAGCATGAGAACTAGTGAGCTAGATTTAAGAAAAGTAAATCTATGTGCAAAGGTCAGAGCATCTCACACTTTCTGCTTCTGCCACAACCATGGACTCCCTAGAGGAGACTGCGATGCTACACAGTTGGGAAGCGCGCCTGCTAGTTGGTAGGGTTGCCATGCTCTGCTCTCCTGTCAAGGCTCCGCCAACTTAATGCTTGGCTAGGCAGCTTGCCTTTGTTGTGAGGATACAAAGGAGCCAATGGGGTCATAATTTAGCTGGCTTTAAGGGAGGCTAATTTCTTAAGTGAGCTCAGTGGTAAATTTAATCGGGTGTATGACGAATCTTTATTGACACTCATGAGGCGCCAGGCTCAGAGCTAAGCATCTCCCACATATTATCTCATTTAATCTCATCGCAACCCCGAGGTGGCCATTACCGTGTTCTCCAGGTTTTAGGTGAGGAAGCTGAAAACTTAAGGTGCCAGACTAAGGTAACATGGAGCCTAATACACAGCAGAGCAGGATTTAGGGCAGGTGTGCCTGACCTAGAGCTGAGTTCGGATCCAGTACTGAGGCTGTGCAGTATAGCTACAGTGGCTTCTCCTACATGTTCCGTTATATACAACCTAAGAAGAAAGTTCTATGTTTTTATAACTTCTCATATTAGTTGTCCAGAATTACACACAGTGTTTGCCTGGATAAATTTTTTGAATCCCTGTATTTGAAAAGAGGAGGGTCAGCCTTGTAACATGTCTTCCTTGGTTTTGGCTTTCCAAAGGCTAAACACACTGATTTGCTCTAACTACTTCTGGGGACCCTGTTTCTGGACCACACTCCATCTCGTTGAACTATCTCTAGTCCAGTAGTTCCCCAGACTGGCTGCATAGTCAAGTAGGGAAGTTTTTTTAAAAAATACCAGAGTCAGAGCCCCAACCCAGACTGAAGGAACCAGAATCTCTGGAAGGTGGCCTGAGCATTGTTGTTTTCTAAAAAGCTCTCTCAGTATATTCTGATGGGCAGCCAGTGTTGAAAAGCACTGTTTCAGGTTGCTTTAAAAACGAAGAATTGGTGGAAATGTTGGCAGGGCCCCTCCAGTGTGAGCAAAGAGAATAGTTCCTTCTGGCTAACGATTATTATCTGGAATTATCTGTGGCATATTCCACATGATTTAATAGGCCTTTTCTCCAAGGGCAGCTGAATGCAAATGTCTCTCAGGTGTAGAATGGGGTGTCAAACATGGTCACTTACAGAGAAGGTGGCAAAGTGCCATCACTATTCCCATCTAATGTGGCCATCTTGATGATTCACCTGAATTCTCCCAGGTCCTGAACACTGAAAACATAATTGTGTGGTTTTTAAAATTTTTATTTTTATTGAGATATAACTGACACATAACATTGTATAAGTTTGAGGTATACAATGTGTTAATTTGATACATTTGCATATTGTAAAATGATTACAGCAGTAGCTTTAGCTAACACCTCTATCATGTCACATAATTACCACTTCTTTTTTTGTGGTGGGAGTAATTAATATCTAGTCTCTTAGCAACTCTGAAATTTATAATACACTATTGTTGTCTATAATCGCTGGGCTGTGCATTAGATCTCCAGAACTTATTTATCTACTGGTTGCAAATTCGTACCCTTAAATACCATCTTCCCAATTCACCCACTCCCCCATCCCTGGTAACCATGTAAACATGGTAACCATCATTCTCCTCTGTTTTTACAAGCTCAGCATCTTTAGATGCCACATTTAATGATATCAGACAATATTTGTCTGTCTGACTTATCTCACAACATAATGCCCTAAGAGTATTTTTTAATTGGATGGTTTAAAAAGCGAAAACAACTCCATTCCTTTTCACTTTTATTTACTGTGTTTCTGTACCACCAGATGCCTTGCTCTTGGCAATGAGTGCTACTGATTGGTGCTGCTAAACCCTCCACACCTGTGTGCAGATACTGAAGGATTGTGATGGAGGAGTTCATTCATGATCATCTTAAAGGGAGTTGTAGTAGCACTGCTGGGATTATTAATACCTAGACCTGGGAGAGATTCCCATAGCTTTGTTCTCCAGCTGTCACTTCAGCAGAAAGGAAAGTCAAATCCCTAACTGTAAAAAGAAAATGAGACTTACAGGTTTTGCACCTGACAACTTAAGATTCAAAGTCATATATCTACCCTTGAAGTAGCTTTTTATCTACAAATTTTTAAATCCATGCACCAGATTACCAAAATTTAATACAGATTGATATGTTAATAACTAAATTTTTAAAAAGAAAAATGCAAAATTAGAGAGGTTGTGAGAGTCCCAGGATGAATAAGGTATAGATCTGGTTAATCTAATGGGGCAGACAGGAGAGAGGAGAGGGAAAAGGAGAGAAGGAGGAAGACATGGATGGCAGAAGATGTTTGGATTCAGATTTGGGGTAGGGAGGTGAAGGAAGGAGGTGAGCAGACAATTATTGGTTTTTTTACGCTTCTATTTATTTCTTTTCTCTTTGTCTTGTTATTTCTCTCATCTGAGTATTCATCATTGGATATTGTGCTCAAGAAACTATCCTCCAAGGACCATAGATTTAAATGAACATTTTTTGAGGGTGCCAAACTCTAGTTTAAGAGCTTTGCATATCTTATACATTTCATTTTGTTCTCTAGCACTGCGAGGTTGAGGCTGAAATTCCCATTTTGCAGATGGGAGGAAGAGAGGTTGAGGAATTTGCCCCAGATTACTCCACTGGAAGACGGTGAAGAACTCAAGCTTTCGATACCAGCGTCTGGCATTTAACCATTGAGCGGTATCGCTGGGACTTCGGCTCCCATGGCACCGTCCCTGGGATGAGCTCCACTGAGTTTCCACGTGGCCAGGCGCATTCCAAGTCTTCTGGCCAGGGTCAGCACAGCCCCGGGACTGAAGAGCGCCTTCCCCCAGGAAAGATGACTGGCGTTTAGCGGACACCACGGGTTCTGAGACCCTGCTGGAGGAGCCTGGCAGATTCCAAGCGACAGGCTTGCACCACAGTCTCTCTCAAGAGAGAGCCTGTAATTCTCACCGCGGCACTGCATAGGGGGTTACTTCTGATCCCCTTTTCTGGACAGGAAAAGTGAAGCTTTCCTTCCTCAGTGGTCACAAAGTCCAGCGGGTAGTGGAGCTGTAGGTGTCCTCTGTGTCCAAAAGATAATAAAATCTGCACAGATCTTGTCATTATTATGCAAAACTGGAGGAGATGCTTGGACTTTCCCCTTGCTGAAGCCCATCTGTCTCCGCGCACAGCCTCCGGGGCTTCTTCAGAAGCCGACCGTGAGCGAAGCCGAATGGGTGGAGACAGGTCCCCTGCCACTAGCCTGGGCCATCTCTCCGCGCCTTGCCAGCCAGTGCCCCCGAGGCCGACCTCCTTCGGCTTAAAAAAACGACAGTCTTCCAATACCCCGCCCGCCGCCCCCAGGGA